AGAGAGAGAGAGAGAGAGAGAGAGAGAGAGAGAGAGAGAGAGAAAGGGAGAGAGCTATTTTTTCACACCACTAAGAAGAGACAAGGACAGTTTGAATCTGCCAGATGTTATTATAAAAGATCGTAACATCAAGTCATAAAAAAAATAGTAAAACAAGACTGTGTGTCGCCACAATACGCTCACTTCTTAAGTTGAACAAAGAAATTTACTCTCAAAGCACAATGGCATTATTTGTCAGGAAATTCTGTAATTAATATGTCGACCAGGGACTACGTGCTGGACTAACTACGACACTATAACCATCGTTGCTTTATCAAATGACGAGACAGCAAACTACAGGAGTTCGAATCTCTAATAGAGATTTTTAAATGTCATGTTGTTTTTAGAGGTTAAAAAACTATTGCATTAACATGTTTTATCTCAGCTCTCACAATTTTTTTGTTTCCTATTTGAATAATTGATTTCCAACATAAAGTGACAATTATATTGATGTACCCTGTTTGAAGTCCTATTCCTACATCCACATGGTGAGCAGGGATAACTATAACATTGTACTTCAAAAGAACATTCACACACACACACACACACACACACACGCACACACACACGCACACACACACACGCACGAAAAGTCTGAATGAACATTTACCAAATTCGATACCTTACTTCTACAAACTATTCGATTACAAAAGGGTGGCAAGTTCAGGATGAAACTCTCCGCAGGTAGATTGTGACGTCATTTTGGGCTTTCTCTATCACCCACAATGTATGCCCCATATCCTATTTTCATCATCATCAGAGAAACATCTCAATGAACACTAAAAGGAAAGGTCTGAAATTCTATGTTTGGTCAACCCGTCTATATGGCTGTGAATGCTGGACAATCACTAAAGACAGGGAAAATGAAATAGAAGCAACAGAAATGTGGTTTCTTAGGAGACTTCTAAGAGTGTCGTGGAAGGAAAAAAAAATCAAAAGAGGTAGTGCTTGATGAAGCCCACGTGGGACCATCAATGTTAAAAACAATCAGGAAATGACAAGTGCAGTTTTTGGGACACCTGAATAGACATAAGAATCTTGAACATCTAGCTCTCACTGGCAAAATTGAGGGCAAGTGAGGCAGGGGTAGGCCCAGAACAACATTAATATTTAGGGAACCTAAACAAATGGGTACCTGGGAAAGATCAGGGAAACGTAACTTATTTGAGAGCATCCGAGTACAAAGGAATGAATGGAGAATCATGATTGCCGATGTCTGTCGCAGATCTTGCACTGGATGATGATCCCATTTTCTCACCCCAACCCCAATTCTATCTCTCTCAACTACTCATAACCACACCTCCCTACCCAGAGCACCCACAAGACAGCCTTCCCGACTGTGCTCAACTCGCAAAGACAGCAGACTTCTGTGAGACAGAGCCGGACGCTCACTCACTCTGTCCTCTTTCCTGTAACTCGCCCAGAGATGGTGAGTACTTTCTGTCTGTGTGTCTGTTTGTTTGTTTGTTTGTTTGTTTGTTTGTTTCTCTTTCACACTCTTTTTCTCTCTCTGACACCCCCCCCCCCCC